TTGGTGAAGATGATGGAATTTGCAGAGATGGCTAAATTGATTTCCTTGATTAGAGAAAAGTCAGTATTTATGGCTGACTGGAAACTCCTTATAGACTTTTTGCATGAAACAGAAAAAAATGGACTTAAGACTTGTGACTTTGATTAGAAAAAAAATTAGATAACAGACAAAAAAGTTTTTTTTTTTTAATCATAGAGTAAGAGATAACTTTGTAATCATTTGCTGCAAAGGAAAATGGAAGCTTCTTTTTATTTCTTTTTATCTTTTCTCTCTGCACTTCTGTCTTTTTTCCTTTCTTTCTCTCTCTTTTTTATTTCTTTGTTTTCTTTATTCTGTATTAGTTTGTGTTAATTTTATGCTCTTTTTAAAACCTTTAATAAAATTTATTTAAAAAAAAGATGTCTTGGCAGCGTCCACTGGAAGGAATCACTGGAAGCAACTGGAATTGCCTATCACAACCTTCTGCTTATTCGCTGATTCACAAGAACTCTGGAGAATTCTAGTTCAGTATTGACTGTGAACAATGAATAACTGCTCTGTTTTTTTAGAGAATCTCATGATGACTGCAGAACCTGTTTTATAGCACTTTATACAGAACAAGCAAGAAATAAATAATGCCCCTCTTAAAAAAACAAAACAAAACTAGAAGCTAATGACTAGGAATACAAAATGCTTTTCCTCTTTTCATCCCCCAACCAGAAGTTTTTAGATTTATATGTACAGTCCTCTGTTATTTAATCCATATAAGTACAGAGGACACTAAAAAGAATGCCTACTAATATTTCAATTAGAATTATTTTCAAAAAAAGACTTTGATATAACATAGCCTTCAGTGAGCTGTCCTAATCTTTAAGTAAAGAAGTTCTATTTCTGAAACTTAAGGACTGGGTTATTGGCTCCCCCCCAAAACACAATGACAATAACTGGTAATTGTGGTGACACATTATTTATACAAAAGGGTGGACGGGTATACAAAAGGGCAAGCCCAAGCTATTAAAAGTAACATTATTCACTCAGAACCCATTGACATGAAAACTCCAGTGTGTAAAACTTGAAACAGTAACTGGCTGATCCTCAGTTGCCTACATTCTAATCTTTTATGATATCAATGTGCTCTAGGAACAGCACTGCAGAAATCAGAAGTGTTTTATGCATGCCTTTCTGATACTAACTCTTAAACGGATTTCTCTAGGAGTCAATGATATAGAATTACTTTGCTCATAGTGGTTTTCATATGTGCTAGCTTATCCCACAAATTAGATTGTCCTTTAAATAAATAAATAAATTTGTTCACTTTCATGCCAGCACTGGTTGGGGAATTCTGCGAGTTGAAGTCCACACGTCTTACACTTGCCAAAGTTGAAAAACATTGCTCTAGCGCCTTCCTCCTCTCCTTCCTCGCTCCCTCCCTTTCGCCCATACATAAAAGATTATCATGTCATTGGTGGGATGACTCATATTAGACAGGTGCCCAATGCAAATAAGGGTTGTAATCCTCACTGAAAATGAATGCTACTTCTGTTTCATTTTCTCCCCAGGGTGCTGGGAAGACTGCCCAATAACTGAAGCAACAAGCAAAATGCTAAAGAACCTACTAGGGGCTTGGAAACTCATACTGCCATTTCTACTAGTACTCAAACCAGATTAATTATGTGTCTGCTCAAGTGTAGGGCCAAAGTATGGGGAGGAAAGCTGGTAAGCACACGAGGCACACTCTCACATCTCTAAGTGATGCTCAAGTGCTTGGAAAAAATCTTCATGTACTGGTTGAAATAAAGGTTCCAAAGTAAAAACTGCTATGGTCCTTCTAATATTATTATTATATGTCATAAACCACTTACCAACAATATTCTCTGATGCTGGCAATTATAATAAAGCTGCACTTACCATAAATTTCTAACTGAAGCTAGACAGCTGACTACAGTTCCTCTGCAAGAAGCTAATATTTGAAAATCTTGATCCCATTGGAATCTTTGCACTAACAGAGAAGACCTTGCATTCAGGAGAAAGGATTCACAGGCAGACAGCAGTGAAAGGAGGAAACCACTATTTTTGTCAGAGATTTTCATTTCTAAATCTCTCATATTGTCAGAATTTAAGTCCTCTGGGCAGGATCTTGGACAAGAGTACAATGCATTTACCCAAAGCCAATAAAATGGGCTAAACCTGCTTGTTATCATGTTGAGCACTGCAGTACAAAAAATATTGAAGTAAAAACAAAGGATATTCAAGCTGAACACTAGGAGGAATTTCCTGATGGTAAGTGAGCTGTTAAATAATGGAACAGTCTTTTAGAATAATGGTGGACTTAAACTCACTGGAGATTTTCCAATGTGGACTGGGCTTTTCAGGGAAATCTAGTGGAGTTCTGCAATGACTTATAAGGTCCCTCCCAGTTCATATATTCCAGGTTTCTATAATTCTATTTAGAAACATATTTTGGAATCATTCCAACCATGCCATGATGGTCTAAGGATTACAACTGCATGATTCTAGTCATAAACAAAATATGAATGTTGAAGCCTTAAAATAAGCAGGAGCTATGAGCCCAGAATGTAGGTAGTAGCTTCACCTTCAAAAGATGTTCATTAAGAGCCAACCAGGACCTCTTTAAGATAAATTGTTGCCTTATCACATCTATAGTTACAAGTGCCCTCCCCTGCTGACACTGTAAAGAGGAAATTCTGGTTTTCTATAGTACTGTATATGCCAATAATCTCAATAAACTCAGTAGCCACACAGTAAGTGCATAACAGATACCAATACCTCTACTCTGCAAAGGCACCATGTGGGGGTGCCTCTAGCCACAGAACTATTCCTCCACATTCTTCACAATTTCTATTTCTATTCCCTGCTCTGATATTGCTGTGAAATTACCCAAATCAGGAAAGTTATTTTATTTATTTATTCCCTGCCTTTCATTCCAGAGCTCAAGGCAGGGTACATACCATTACATTGTCCTATTTTAATCCACAACAACAACCTTGTGAAGTGGATTGGGCTGAGTGAGCTCCCATGGTTAAGATGTCTCCCTTCTCCAACCTTATAAGCAACTCCCATCAACAATGGTATAAAACTGCTGTACAGTAATAACAAACCATATTAAAAAATATATGTCCTTTCATGACACTCAAGAATCTGCTCATAAATTGGCCACTTCACTTTTCCTACAGATAGGATTGGTCCTATTATTTCACTTATCCAGGAAAACTGCAAATATGGATAAACAGTAGATAATACACTACTTGGCTATAAGAACAGGAAAGTTTATGCCAGGCCACTGAAATTAAATGGCCACATTTCTAGAAAACTTTATGTGAATAAACAA